TATATGGTTACAAAACACAGGGATCCCAGAAGAAATATGGAAAGATAAGCAATGATTTATTTAAACTCTTATTGGTTCTTTTTTCTTTAGAAATCGTGACTTTATGGAAAGATTTTACGGCAATTAAATTGTGTAAGTAATATATTTTATTTTGAAAGTACATGTATACCTATTCATTGAAAAAAAAGTYCAAAAATTCCCAAGAAGTTTACGCGAAGTTAACGTATTAACTTGATTTTTAACCTTTTATTAATTTCAGRTTTTTCTCACGGACTGTGGCCGAAATGGATTTGATTTACACTCAAAGTGAACTGATTTAATTATATGGAATGTCCCCCAACATTGTAGTAAATAATTAGATAAAAAAAATATTATGAGGCATCAATAAAATTCAGAAATTCTGACATAAATCAATTTAGTTTTTGTGTATGATATCGTGAGTATAGGTAGAGTGATTTTCATAAACCCGTGAAACAAAGTACAATAATTAGAGTGTAATAAATTAGATCGTAATAGTCGCGTAGGGAAAATAAAAAACAAAAGAGCCAAAGTGTTATAGCGATAATTACGCTAACGTGTGTTTCACGGGTTAATGAAAACCACTCTATCCTTAATTAAAGCAAATGCATGTTCTTTCTATTTGTCTCTCAATTTGTTTTATTTTATTTGGGCTTCCTGTGTTGAGTTAGTTACCATTCCCCGCACGGTTAGCAAAATAAAAACATGGCGGTGACTGACAACGAGAAGTGTTGAGCAAGGGGCTGTCTGCAATTTCTAGTTAGATATACACCTTTTGTTGAAGACTTCAGATCAAAGTAACCTCGCAAGATTTTATTTCGGCTTCTGCAAATGAAGAATAATTGGTTGTAAGTACAAACAGAATCAAATTAACGCATCTGAAGTCAGTGGTGTTCAACATAGAAGCCCGGCGTCCAGTGAAGATACCAATTTGAATAACGTTGTGCAAGTTGTAACTATTATGTCGTGCACGATTAGTTCTTCTAGAATGTTTAATCGGCTTGTAAGAAGGGCATGTAACACAAGTATGCCGGCACTTCAACATATGCGCTGGCTATCCAGTAACCCTGGTGTTATGCAATGCTGGTCCCTTGACCAATATGGCGGGAATGAAGTCTTGCAACTGAACACTGTAGAAATGCCTTCTGTTCAAAGTTCTGCTGATATTCTAGTGAAAGTACACGCTGCTTCAGTAAATCCATTTGATATACGAATGAGGAACGGTTACGGATCAAAACTATTAAATTTATGGCGTAAAACTAAAGGAGCTAGCGAATTCCCTCTTGTTTTGGGGAGAGATTTTTCTGGCGTTGTGGTTAAAACTGGAAAGTTGGTACGCAGGTTTAGGCCTGGAGATGAGGTTCGTATATTCTGTATTTAAAAGTGCATTCAATATATCCATGAAATGGTTTGCAAACAAAGTAAGATAAATTTGTGCAAAAACCTTGTGTTCTCATTTCTAATCAGTGCAATCTGCAATGTCTTAGAGTGATCGCAATTAATCCGTGCAACTGTACAAATTAAATAGTGATGTTTAGTTGTATTTAGTAAATCGTACATGCGGTAGAGTGAATGCACTTAATCCGTGCAACTGTACAAAATCTAAGTAGTATTAATTTGTACTAAAAGTGGACCTGAAGCAAGACGGTATTGAATGCTTCATTTGTATCAATTCAATATTAATTTGCGTATCGCATGCACGATTTACTAAATACAGCTAAACATCACTATTTAGTTTGTACAGTTGCACGGATTAAGTGCGATCACTCTAAAAAATGTTTCATGTTTATAATGCACTCGACCATATACATATTTAATCAGTCATGTAGAATATGCCAAGTATAGTTCAATAGGTATGGATTAAGAATATTGATACAGTTTGAAGCCATCAAGAAACCAGTTCCGAGACGAGAAAGAGCATGAATACTAAGATGTAGTAGGGTTACCCAGTTTGAGTGCATTCACACAAACAAAAACTCAAGAACCTTGCAGCCTTAGTTTTAAAAAAGCTCTGTTGTTGAATATTGCTTCCTGATTGGTTGAATACCAAAGATGTATGCAGAGAAAGTCATGCAGAGGGTCTTGGGTGCTCATGGGCCTTAAATACCTTCAAAAAAGACTTTAAAATAGTAAACAAAAAAGAATGTATGGGACTTTAGAGTGGTATCCCAATAACAAATTCATTGTTTTTGCAGACTGCTCTTTGGCTTTTCATGAACCAAATAGATTCAAACATGAAAATAACATAGTTGTAGTCATGTCTAAAGCTGATTTAGTGACTGCGTAAGCCTTTTCTGAGATAGCAGTTTGCATTGCATTGTGGTGCTGTGTAATACATTGATAGATCTGTGACTGCAAATGAGTGAGAACACAAGGAGATAAAATTAATATTTTCCAAGTTATTCTCTATGTTTACTGAAGCTAGACCACAGTGCACCATTAGTAGGTATTTTATAAAAGGTGTATGTCATTAAAGTGCTACTTGCATGAAAATGGCCTTAWTTCMAAAMKTYAARMAATACAAATATATGACTCWYWTATATCTATTAAAARCAATTKYGGGAAAAKATTTGTTTTGGAATYDTCSCACATCAGAGAAATTTTGATTCAAAAGATGGAAGAACAAAAGGATTGAGTAAATGACGTTATCTACTCCAACATTTTTTGCTCAAATTATTAAGGATTTGTATCAATATCTTCTTGAAATCTGTTGCTTCATGATTATTAGACCCATATGGATAGGTCTATTTGATTTCCAAGTTTTTTCTAAGGATTCGCAATTTTCATCCAAGTAGCCCTTTAAGGTATGTTCCCGATTTCTGAAGTAAGCATAGCTAATATTAACATTTGGTAACTGTGTGTTAGGTTTGGGGTTCACCAACTGTACCCAATGGAGGAACTCACACTCAGTATTTGGTTGCTCGCCAAGATGAGGTACTAACAGAAACCTATAAGGGACTTGAAATGTGTAACGCAGTGCTAATAAACTGTTGGAATATTCAAATCTAATTTGCATCTCATTTCCTTATTTGGAAAAATTAAATTTACCCTATAGCCAACCAGAACAAGCCTTAAATCTCTTATCCAACAGTTGAATTTTCCAAATATGGTCATTATGGTCATAACATTCCTTTTTGAATTTTTAATAAGCTTTTACAGTCAAACTACCTCAAGCATGAACACCTAGTGATCATTAATGAGTTCAATATTGCATTATTGATTTGATTCTTGAATTCAAATATTCATTATTCAAATGAAGTTTTAAATATTGAAAAATATTCAAGCATGCAAAAACGAATAGAATAAATGAAAATAATATGTGCATCCATGGGTGATAACTGCACGTTTTCAAAATTTTGAAAAGTTGACTAATAAACTCAATGATGAATATTTGAATCCAAGAATCAAATCAATAATGGAATAATGAATTCATTAATGATCTCTATGTGTTCACGCTTCAGGTAGTTTGACTGTAATATTCCAACACTTGGTATTAAAGAAATGTATGGGCATTACACATTTCAAGTCCCTATACTGTAGGTTTCTGGTACTAATGAAACAAAAATATAAGTGCCATGGTCAACTTGCATATGCAATCATATTGTTTTAGAATTTTCATTAAAATACATGAATGTGTCTTTAAATATCTTTTTGCTGTCATTTTCCATCTGTCAGTTTCAAGATCAAATTTTGTTATACAAGCACAAACATAGGTTTTTTGAAATATTAAATTTTATTTTGTTTTGTTTGTTTTTCAAAACATCAAAAGCTTGTGCAGTTGCACACTTTTAAAATACACACTTTGATGTCAACAAATTTGCAATAATTATGCTTTTTCAAACTTATTTTCTCAGGATTGTAAGTCATCATCTTTTCCAGTTGATGTTATCTTCAAATTGATGATATTTTTTTGAATAGAAATCATTGTCTTGATATGAAGATGATTTCCTTTGAAGATGATACTGGGGATACAGAATAGTGCATTCATTGATGACAAAAACGTTTATATTCTCAGATTTCTCATAAGCCTGGTTGTTTAAGTCATGTAGAAGCTGCTTCTCTACCCTATGTTGCCTGTACTGTTTGGGTTGCTTTAGTAAGCAGAGCGGGACTAAAACCTGATAATTGCTTTGAAAAAAGGTAAAAGCCATGGTTTTGAAAGGTTTGTATTTAATTTTATAAAATGATATATAATTATATTGATATATAACGCGCGCTCTGATTGGCTGACGACCGTGTTTATATCAGAGGACAGAGACACGGCTTACCGGCAAAATTTTCTTTTCGCTCGAAAAATTTTATAAAAGAAATATAAAACCGCCGCTTGTGTCTCTGTCCTCTGATATAAACACGGTAGGAGTTGAAAAACACTCGAGAAGCAAGAGAAACACTCGCTACGCTCGTGTTCCTAAGCTTGCTTCTCTCGTGTTTTTCGAACTCCCACCGTGTTTATATCAGAGGACAGAGACAAGCGCGCCGTTTTATATTGGAATTTTGACAACACAGGAAGCCCGTTATTACTGATGACCTGCTGAGTTGTGATGATGATAATGATGATTATTATTTATATATTAAACCAGTTGTGATTAACCATGACATTTATCACTAGGGTACTGGTTTATGGTGGATCTGGTGGTATTGGAACATTGGCAATTCAGGTACAACAAAATACTTACAGTATTAGAGCAGACTTCGTATGACTGTGCAAAAACAAACAAACAAACAAACAAAAGACACTGCAATCTCGCGTCGTGACCTTACCGTGGAGTGATGTTATCTTCAATCACTTATTTTCATTTGGCGTTGATACCAGGCAAGGTTTCTTAGCCCATGCTGTGGTCCGTGCCTTTGCACATTCATACGAAATCGACTCTGTTGTTCTTGGTTTTTCATATACAGCAAAATAACCGAAATTTCCAACACGCTAATCTCGGCGCGGCGGGCACTATCGCGTTTTATACAACTTTTCAGTAAAATCAGACGTTTTGATTGGTTGGCTTTCGTGTGTTATCAAAGTATAGATACACGGATTACGTCAAAACTAATTGTTTGTTGTATAAAACAGATAGATCTCATTTTTCCGTGYGTGTGTACTCTAATAGATACACAGATGACGTCAAATTGTAGTGAGAACAACAGTCACGCACTCGACTGCGTCTCGTGCGTACTTTTTTGTTCTCACTACATTTTGACGTCATCTGTGTATCTATTAGAGTACACACGCACGGAAAAATGAGATCTATTTGTTAGGTTGACTTTCCACCAATGAGAGTGGACGTAAAATT